GATTTGAGACCATTGACGTCTCAATTCTGCTGCTATAATTTGAACTGAAATAGCTCTTCCAAAGACTTTAACCACAATTGAATATTGTAGTTTCTCAGAATTCTCTACCATCTTAGGCTGAAATAGTTTGACTGCCTTGCCGTCCTCAGACAAAAAGGATTCTTCCATTGGCATGTTCATCGGGATATGAGAACGTTTAATCCAAGGATTAACAACGTTTTTAATAGGAGCAGAATTCAACTCTTTATCCTCTGTTTGAACAATTCCACAAGCATCTTTGATGCTATCTCCTTTCTCATGGATGATCACAGGTTCTATTTTCTTAGAATTACCGTTATTGCCAAATCTGTTGACAAATATCTTCATACCAGAGGATGAAGCATCAAAATCATTTGAAATTCCCTTCAGATTTGATGCAAGAGTTACCATAATTGAATCCATAATCATCTACTTGCCCTTGCCGACAACTGGTGAAGAAACTTCCATACGATCAGAGTAATTTTCTCTGATTACCAACGTACCGTTGAAAGGTCATTGATTGTTTATCAATTCTGATTTCGACGATTGAGACATCATCGAAGATCTATTCGGATTTATGTGTGCCGACGACTGACCACCTGAAGTGGCCGCCGCCAAGCCAGTCATCTCCGCCTGCGTTGCCGCCAACAGAAAAATTCAAAAAATTTGAATTTTCTCTCTCTAAAAATTTGAATTTTTCTTGATACTTGACTTTGAACACTATAGGAAAATCGCCCATTTCCGTCGACTTTTTTCGATGAAAATTGAGTCTTTTTCGGCGGTTTTGTAATTTAGCGGCGGTTTTCCGGCGGTTTAAATACCGCCGGAAAAAACGGCGTAGGAAAATAAATTCTGGCGGTTTTTTCCGGCGGCTTGCCGGCGGTCTTAAACCGCCGGTCAAATTAAAAAAAAAAAATCCTGCTGCTCCGGCGAGCCCCCCAACCCTGCCCCGGCGAGCCCCCCCACACCCACGGCGCTGCGCCCGCTCCCGCGGCAACTCCCCCCGGCTCCGCAGCTCTGTCGCTCCCGCGGCAAGCTCCCCCGCGCGTACTGCGCGTGCGGTGAGATTCGAACGCTGGTCGTTCGGGAAGAAATTCCAACGACCGACCAAATTTCTGAAGATGTAAATGCGTTAATCTCCTTAATTGTTTTTATTTAAACTATATTGCGACTGAAAATCAATAATTTTTAATTACACAAAAAATGTAACTAATTAATTTAAAATTAAAAAATATATATATTTAATATAAAATAAAAATTAACTAACTAATTAATTTTAAAATAAAAATTTAATTAAATAGTTAATATAATTTTTAATAATTTTTTTGTTAAATCATTAAAAATACTTTAAATTTTATTCATTTTCATTAAATTTTTTAAAGCCGTCGGAAAATTGAAAAAGCCGCCAGAAAAGCCGCCGGAAATTTCCGTGGGGATAAACCACCGGAAAATCACCGAAAAGCCATCAGAAACGTGACCGCCGGCAAGCCGCCGGAAAATTCCCCGGAAATCATTGATTTTCCTGTAGTGCGACCACTATTGGACTTCTGATTATTCGTCGACCACCGTCGAACTTCCGCCAGCTCATTGACCACCGTTGAACATCTGCTCCTTAAACCAACGCCAACTACTTCCCGACCACCGTTAGAATTTTGCATGTTCGTCGACCACCGTCGAACTTTCGCCTGTTCGTCAACCATCGTCAGAGTTCTTACCGACTACCATCATACTTCCTCATGTTCGTCAACCACCGTCAAACTTTCACATGTTCGTTGACCACCGCCAAACTTCTTTCTGCTCATCAACCACTGCCGGAATTCTTCCCGACCACTGTCGGACTTCTCTCCTCGTTACCACTGCCGGAGTTCTCCTCGACCACCACCAGAATTCTGCTCGTTCCTAGACCATCGCCGAAGTTCTTCCCGACCTCCATCGGACTTCCTCCTATTCGTCGATCAACAACGGAGTTCCACCCGCTCATCGACCTCCACCAGAGTTCTTCCCGACTACCATCAGACTTCCACTTGTTTGTCAACCACAGCTATGGTCCTTCTGACCACTTTCTCCTGCCAACTACAGTCCTTCCGACCACCATTGCCCCTCGATTACGGTCCTTCTGACCACCGTCATCCAACTACGGTCCTCTCGACCTCCTGGTCGCCGACTACAGTCCTTCCAACCACCATCACCAACTACGGTCTTTTCTCACCACTTTCTCCAGCAGACTACGATCCTTCTGACACTTTCTCCAGCAGACTAAGATCCTTCCGATACTTTCTCCAGCCGACTATGATCCTTCCGACCACCATCACCCCACAATGGTCCTTCCGAATATTGTCGTCCGCCTACGGTGCTTCCGACCATCGCCATCCGACTACAGTCCTTCCGACCTACATCGCTCGCCGACTGTGGTCTTGCCACCTAAATGAACAATCAACATTGATTCTTTCAACTTCCACCATATAATGCACTCTATATGATGTATATTTGCTACATCGAGCCAAGACCTTCCTTCCTCCTAAGGAAGAGCCTCATTTGTAATCAATTGCAAGCACTAGTTGATTCATTCAAATTGGGTTAGGCTCCGTGGTTTTTCTCCTTTTCAAGAGTTTCCAAGTAAAAATTATGGTATATCTTATAAACACTATAACAATATTCTCTTATTTGATTGTGTGCTGGATATTCGTACAAAGCTAAGACATTAAACTTTATATTTCTCTATCTCCGTGAAAATATCAGGACGCAACAATCACCATGCCTAAGGAAATTATAAGAAGATTCTCTTCTTGTTCCAGAGACTTTGGGATATTCGGATTCTCAAGGATACTATTGTTCTATGTGCAACGGCATACAAAGCAAATTCCAAAGCTAGCTCCAACTATCAAGGACTTGAATGGACATGGTTCCAAGAATCATAAATATGTCTGCATGAAGATAAACGCTGAATAATAACCAAGCATGAAATTTGCTTGGTAATCTCTTACATACAAAGACATGCAATAGACCGTGAATCTTCCCATAATCTTCCTTGGGCAAGATGATGAAGGTTGAAAGGATAGCCACGACAACTGTGAGGATTATAGCAGTTACGGTAAACAGTCCACACCCTGCAAGCGAAACCTCGCATTTGATCTCTGCTTATTGCTCGTGAGTGAGTTAGAGAGAGCGGAGAAAACCTTCGCTAGATATTAATTTGATGAAACTTTTAGCACTCGATCTAGCCTTCTCTACCTACCCTGCGCTCTTACCCTCGTATTAGTAATGGCAGTTCAGAGCATCTGCTGTGATCAAGAGCATCTCCAACCGAAAATTCCATTTTTCACTCCAAAAAAACTTTTATAGTTGTTAAGCTTTTGTATTTTTATTTATTTTGTTTATGTTCTAGGTTAAAATAATAATATACTTGTTTAGCTTATATATTTAATATTTAAATAAATAACAAATAATAAAAAGTAGATGGATTTCAGGAGTTTTGTTGTCATTTCTCCTTTTCATTTTCACAATCTAGAAGGATGATGCCCGATTCTACTCCCACTAACATCCTCCACCACCCGACCTATCTATCTCTTTCCCTTTTCTATCTCACTTATCTTCCTCTTTCTTACTCTTTATATCATGTTATCCTTAGCTTCCAGGTGAACAATGAACTTGTGCTTTGCCCTGAATCGGATGGATGAAGGTCTCCCCATGCACGATTCAGTAGCTAATGCTGGCACGTTACTTCCGTCCTCGAGGACGAGCTTCTCATCCCTCTTCCTAACCTAAACCTCTTGAGCTCCTCACTTTCTTGGTGCTATTCAATTTCACCTACCTTTTTAGACTTTATCTTCCTTGTCACCAGTCATCGAGGGTTCAACAACACCCATTTTCCCTTTTTGTTTGGCTTTTCCTTTCCCTCCCTCCTCGTTGGGACTTGGAAGTCAAGTTTCAATGAAAAAGAATTGTGTTTAAATATCAAAAATACCTCAAAAGTTATTTTTTGTGTTCTTAAAACAAATCAATTTGTTTTAGCATTAAAAAAACAAGAATAAGTATGCAAACATATTTGTATCATTTCGCTTTTATTTTCTAAATTAAATAAAAATGAAAATAAAATTTATCCCAATCAATCCCTAAATTTTATTTAGTTGTCTGACCTATAGCATACAATGTCATGTTATTAATAAATGACAATTGTTTGGTTCTCTATATCTTTAAATACTAATTTTATAAATGCCATTTATGTCCTATTTTGATTATTTCTAGTTGTTGACCAAAACTGCTAACATCTAGATGTCTGGCTATTTGATGGCTATAATAAATAATAACACATAAACAAAGATCTTTGCCACCATTGATCTTTCTAAATAACCTTACATTGTTCAAGTCGGGTATCATTTAACCAAAAATAGTTTTATTCACTTATATTATGGTTTACTGTTTAATTTTATAACTTTTTATTATTCTTACAGATTAAAATACATGGATTACTGGCATATAGTTTGGATTGAATGCCCTGTTACAACTAAGTGGATCCAACTCAGGCTTTGTTTGTTTGAGCGTTTTTTTGCCTTTTCCGTTTGGAAACGGAGGAAATTTTTTTTTTTTTTGTTGTTTGGTTCGTCAAATCACGTTCCCAATAACTCCATTTTTCATTTTTCTGCAGTTTTGAGAAAGCTTTTTATATATGTTTCTCCATTAGAAAACTCCATTTTCATAACTAATGTTTTTTAAAACTACCTTTTACAAAAGCACAAAAAAAAAAAAAAAAAAAAAAAAAAAAAAAAAAAACAAACAAACGAAGCCTCAATGTTTTGATATTCTTGAATTACAATCTACACCTTCATGTGGTTCCAAACTCAAGAACCAAGAAAATTTTGGCTAGTTCCTACAAGAAATGACCTGATTAGCATCTTGCTTCTTCTGATTAGTCATGCTCTTTTCTTCCTCGTACAATTTCCCACATAGAAATCTGAAACATGATGCATTTATTGGTCATGCAGACCTCTAATAGACAATGCCTTGGCCATTACCATAGAGGGCTTCTGAACACAAGCTCATATTATAAGGGTGGATATTTTTACAATTCAAAATTCTTGCTTGTATTGTTTCTTGGTTCACTAATAAATTGCTTTCATAATAACTGGGTTTCAGTTCATGTGTACGAGATAAAGAAAGAACCATTTCACAGGATAAAGAAATTTCTCCTATGAGTTAATAAGTGTTCGTTATTGATGTTGACATTGGTGCTGATCAGATGTCGTTTTCAGTTTGATGAGAATCTCATAAGTGAATGAGAATATGCAGGTCGCACATGGAGAGGCTTGGGCCGCTTAACAAAAAATAAGGAATCTTTAAGGATAGTGAGAGGTAGCTTTGTATCTTACTTTCAGTTGTGTTTTGTGGGCTGTTTACTTTGATGCTATCTCTACTTTTGTTGATGGTTTAGTTGGTTTTTGTTACAGCATACATTCTAAGGGTACAGTTTTGTTTATACAGCAAATCTCTGAGCTTCTTGGAAAATTCATATGTAAGAAGTTTACCAAAGCCAGTTTTTTTGTTGTTTCATGGAACTTCTGTCAAGGTGTATGATCCTGATACGAAGTGCATGTAATTTCCGCAAAATCAGTAAACGATATAAGAAATTTAGGAATAATACATAAGAACTTTTATTTATTGAAAGAACTAAGAAGAAAAACACAAGATACTTTTAGATCTTCAATTGGAGTGGAAGATCCAGCTCTCTCAAATCTCTAGCCGTCAGCTAGAGCCCACTCAACCTAAGCAAAACTAATTCCATCAAAATCAAATATAATATGAAATCTCCACATAGTTAGCCTTAAATAGGCTCCCCTAATTTCGTCCCAAATAATTTTCTCTCATACTTGATTTTAGATTAGATCTCTTTTTCTAACTAATTCATCCTAATTGTAATTAAAACTTTCCTAAAAAATTCTCCCTTGATTCCTCCTTATATAATTAATATTAACTCATGTAAGCTTTCCCTAAATAATTCACTCATAATTTTGAATTAAAAAATAAGATTTCTTTTCCTAATTAATTTCTTCTGAATTGTAATTAAAATTTTCCTAAATAATCCCCCTCTCTCTTCTTGCCCAATGCCCACCCTAGTGTGGCCCATTGGCTCAGCCACTGATCCATCAATACTCCCCTCCCAAAGAGCCACCTTATATGTAAGGTGGAAAGACAAAAAAAATGTTATTTCATCCTCTCACACGGCTCCCTCAATTTTCTCGCCATCACAAATGGTGATAACCTGAAGAGTACGGACTTACATTTGTGCCCTAGTTTATACCTCTCATCACGTCTGAAACACAACCTCTTTGCGCTCTTATCTTGTTACTCCATCTCTATAAGCTTCTTGAAGTTTCCCCCGGGCTCCCTCCTACAATCTTCTCCTTTAGGGTCTCTCTAAAAATACCCGGTGTCGGCTCCTTGGATGCCAAAAAGATAGTGATCATCCTGTACTACCCTCCTAAGTTGCTACTTGCAGCCTCTCTCTCTCCAGGTGTCGCTGCTCCTCCACTAATTGGGCTAGCTCTATAACCTCTTCCAAATCATAAGGCCTTATCACTCTAACTGCCTACCAAATCTCTAGTTTAAGCCCTTTTATAAAGTTTCCATTCAGTATAGTCTTTAGAAGCAGGTCCAATCGGCTGGCTAGGTGCTCAAACTGCTCAAGGTACTCCACTACTGCCCCCTCTTGTGTTAGAGGAAAAAATGCTCATAGAAGTCTCCTCCTATGTTAAACTCCCTCCAGGTTCGTATGGGCCACCTCGTATCTCTCCAATGGTATTATGCCAACTCTTTTCCCTCCAAGCATATTCCATCGGTCATCAATCTCTCCTCTTCTGTCAACCTATTAACGGTAAACTATCTTTTCACCATGTAGTTCTACTTATGTGCATCATCTCCCTCAAAAATAGGCATCTTCAACTTCCTTACTCTCGGATCTCCTCCATTCCCCCTATTTCCTCCATAATGTCCCATTTCCGAAGGGAGTGGTTGCCCCCAAATGTGCCGATCATCACTTTTACACTCATACTCATACCCATACCATTCATAAAAATTCCCCCCTTCTCCTTTCAAATTTAGTAACCTTCGCTCATGCCCAAACCCCTCACGCCTCTCCCTATACCCTCTACCCGACTTCTCTAAAACTTTTTTCTCGAACTCCGATTTCTTTCGTTTGATCTCCCCCTTTTACGCTCATACCCATACCATTCGTAAAAATTCCCCCTTCTCCTTTCAAATTTAGTAACCTTCGCTCATGCCCAAACCCCTCACGCCTCTCCCTATACCCTCTACCCTCTACCCGACTTCTCTAAAATGTTTTTCTCGAACTCCGATTTCTTTCGTTTGATCTCATCTTCCAATATTTCTACCTTTTTTCTTTCCATAGGTACACAGATTTAGTCTCCAACAACAAAAAACAACAACTTGGATGCCAATATCGCCTCCAAACAACAAAAAATAAGTAAGAATGGAGAAAAAATGCAGCAGAATTCAGTGAGGGCAATTTTTATTTCAACTCACGAATTGCTCTGATACCAATTTGATAGGAAGTGGATGTAATTTCAGCAAAACCATATATCAACACAAGAAATTTAGGAAGAATAACACACAATAAATCTTTTTTTATTGAAAGAACTAAGAAGAAAAGTACAAGATATAGTTGAATCTTCAATTGGAGAGGAAGATCTGACTCTTCCAAATCTCTAGCCGTCAGCTAAAGCCCACTCAACCTAAGCAAAACTAATTCTAGCAAAATCAAACATAATCTAAATCACTCCATAGTTAGTCTTAAATAGGCTCCCGTAATTCCAACCCAAATTAGCCTCCTTTCCTTAAATAATTCCCTCTTAGATTTAAATTCAAATTAGATCTCTTTCTCAAATTAATTCTCTTCTAATTGTAAATAAAATTTTCCTAAATAATTCCCCCTTGATTCCTCCTTATATATTGAATATTAACTCCCTATGTTTTCCTTAAATAATTCCCTATTAGATTTGAATTTAAATTAGATTTCTTTTCCTAATTAATCCCCTCCTAATTGTAATTAAAACTTTCCTAAACAATCCCTCCTCTCTCTTCTTGCTCGCTGCCCACCCTAGTGGGGCCCACTAACTTAGCCTCCGGTCCATCAGATCCTAAAGGAAATAGAGTATAATTATGGATGAATGCCATATTAGCATGTTAGTCTAGTTTGCTGATTTTTTGAAGTTGACCTGCTAAGATTTGTTGTATTTGTCTGAGCCTTTGTGCTACACTGATATTCAGTCTATTACAAAGAAAGAATAAAGATTTTATAGCTGCTCCAAATAATGTCTAAATAGTCCTTAATTTTATCACTGTTGCTTTGCTTTAGGTGTTTTCACTGCTCTATGGATGTTGTTATAGAGATTCAAAATGATGTCCAAAGATTTTTCCGTTGTATTATGAGAATTTTAAGGCCAGCATATCTGATAAATGGTGTGAGGGCTACAGAAGTGTCGTTTACTGTCAAAGATAGTTACTTCCTTATTTATATTGGCAATAGGTTTTGCTCTGACATGTTTTTGAAGCGAACAGAATTTGGAGAGCTTTATTTTTGTGACGCGAGATCAAAGTAATGAATTTAGGAACATAAGATTCTCCTACGAAATGGTTTACGCAATGCTCTGATTCCCTCTGTACATCACATAAGCTATTTTTTAGTCTTAGTTTATGTATTTCAGTGCTTGTGGCGCCCAAGAACTTTTTTTTATTATTTTATTGAACTTCTTCCAACAACAACAACAACAATAACATCAATCCTTTATCCTATTATTTGAAGTTCGTTACATGAGTCCTTTTCTCCTTTGTATTATGTTAAAAGTCTGATTTTCATTTAAATCTAATAAAAGAAGGTCATTTCTAAAATTTTATAACCAAGTCTTTTTAGGTCTACCTCTATCTTTCTTAACATAGGTCAAATCTAATATATCTACCCTCCTAAGCATGTCATTGGAATGCTGACATTTTATGTGACCAAATAATCTAAGATGACTCTCTCTTTAATCTTATCTGCTACTGGAGCTACTCCAACATTTTCATGTATATGCTCATTTTACATTGTCTCTAAGAGTGAAATCACTCATTCACCTAAGCATCCTCATCTCTAAAACAACAACAACAACAACATCAAGCCTTTATCCCACTACGTGGGGTCAGCTACATGAATACTTTTTCTCCATTGTGTCCTATTAAAAGTCAAATTCTCATTTAAATCTAATAAAGAAAGATCATTTCTAATATTTTCTAATCAAGTCTTTTTAGGCTGCCTCTACCTTTCTTAACATAAGTCAAATCTAATACCTCTACTTTCCTAATCGGGTCATCGGAAGGCCATCGTTTTATGTGACCAAACCATCTATGGCGACTCTCTCTAATCTTATCTTCTATTAGAGCTACTCCAACCATTTCACGTATATGCTCATTTCGTATCCTATCTCTAAGGGTAAAGCCACTCATCCACCTGAGCATCCTCATCTCTGCCACACTAAACTTAGTATTATGCTTCTCTTTTAATGGCCAACATTCGACACCATAAAACATTGCAGGCCTCACCACCATCTTATAGAATTTTCCCTTAAGTTTGAGGGGTGCTTTTTTATCACACAATAAGCTCGATGCATTCCTCCACTTCAACCATCCAACTTGAATTCTGCTGATAATATCCCCATCTATTTCACCATCACTTTGAACAATAGATCCAAAATATCTAAAACGTGTACTCTTATTAATGACTTGATCACCCAAAGTCACAATCCCCTCACGAGCTCTATTACTATTAAAATTACACTCCATATATTTCGTTTTAGATCTACTCAAGCAAAAACCTTTAGACTCTAAGGTTGACCTGCATAATTCAAGTTTAACTTCAACTCCCTCTCTAGTCTTATCAACAAGAATAATATCATCAGCATAAAGCATACACCATGGTACATCCTCTTACAAATGTCTAGTGAGAACATCCATGACTAAAGCAAAAAGATATGGGGTTAAGGATGATCCTTGATGTAACCCAACTTAAATAGGAAAATACTTGGTCAAACCACCTTGTGTTTGAACACAAGTAATATCTCCTGCATACATCTCTTTAATGATTTGAATATAAGCATTATTAACTTCTTTCTTATCAAGAACTCTCCATAGCACTTCTCTTTAAACTTTATCATATGTTTTTTCTAAATCAATAAATATCATATGTAGATTCTCCTTATATTCTCTATATTTCTCCATCAAACCTTTTAATAAATGTATGACTTCCATAGTCGATCTACTAGGCATAAATCCAAATTGATTTTGTGAAACATTAGTATCACACCGCAACCTATGCTCCATAACCCGCTGCCCTAATTTTAAAGTATGACGCATTAACTTAATTCCTCTATAATTCACACAATCTTGTGCATCACCTTTATTCTTAAAAATAGGAACTAACACACTCATTCTCCACTCATCTGACATCTTTTTAGTCTTCAAAACAGTATTAAAAAGTTTAGTAATTCAAGAAATTATTTCATCTTCTAAGCATTTCCACACTTCTATTGGAATATCATCAAGTCCAACAGCTTTTCCACACTACATTTTCTTTAAAGCCTCTATAACTTCAGTTTTACTAATACGTCGATAAAAATAGAAATTTTTATTTTCATTTAAGGCACTAAGGTCACTACAGTCAATTGTATTTTCACAATCTTCATTAAAAAGTTTAACAAAATATCTCATCCACCTTTTTTGAATATCATCTTCTAAGAAAAGTACTTTTTGATCATCATCCTTAATACACTTGAACTAAATCCTTATTACTCCTATCTCTTTGTTTGGCTAGCTTATATGTATAATTTTCTCCCTCCTTAAAATCTAAGCTATTATATAAATCACTAAAAGCTAAAGTTTTTGCATCACATATTGTTTTCTTAGATTCCTTACGTGCCTCTTTATATCTTTCCCAATTATCCAAGTTTTTACATTTAAACCAATTTTTATAACAAATCTTCATATTTTTAATCTTATCTTGTATATTTGGATTCTACCACCAAATATTTTTACTATTAGGAGCTTTTCTCTTTGAAACTCCAAGCACATCTTTTGCAATATTCTTAATATTATTAGTCATTTTTTTCCCACATAATATTAGCACCCTCATGCACAACCAAAATCTTAATATCTATAATCTTACTCTCAAAAATATTTTTGTTAATATTCTTTAAATACCCACATCTAATCCTATCGTTTTACTTTATTTTTTATTTTCTGTCCATTTATCTTAAAGTCCAAAACTAATAATCGATATTGAGTATATAAATTTTCACTCGGAGTAACTTTATAATCATTGTAATCTAAACGATCTAATTTTCTTATAAGAAAATAATCAATTTGAGTTGTATTATATCTATTTTTATGAGTGATGAAATGCTCATTCATTTCTTAAATAAGGTATTAGCAATTAAAAAATTATAAGCTGAACAAAAATTTAATATGGTCTTGTCACCTTCATTTATCATTCCAAACCCATGGCCACAGTAAATTCTTTTAAAATCATCTACTTCTCCTCCAATAAAAACTCTTTCTTTAAGAGGTATCTTTTGTATTAATTCTTCTAAGTCATTTAAAAATTTAATTTTGAACTCATATCCAAAGATACTTGAGGAGCATAAGCACTTATAATATTAGCAATCTTAGCATCAACAACAATCTTTAAAACTATAATTCTATCTCCAATTCTATTAATTTTTATAATATTATCCTTCAAACTCTTATCTATAATCACACCTACACCATTTCTAGTATGACTCTTACCCGAATTTCGAAGTATAAATCCTAAACTATCAATCATCCTAAGCCTTCTCTCCAACCCATTTAGTTTCCTAAATTCATAGAATATTTGAACTTAATTTTATGCATTTTAAATCAATTTCAATGGGTGGATGAGGATTGTTGAGAATAAGACTCGTGCATGCTGTACAAACTAAGTTATTGAGTAGATTTGAGAAAGAACAATGGCATTTTGTGGCCGTAGATATGCTATTGCTTCTTTTCTACTTTGTTCTTTTACTCTTGTTATTTTGTAAGTAGCTTAATCTAACAAACCGTATGATGCCATAGAACTTGTGAATATTCAAATTAAAGGATTGGGACGAAATGTTTATGAATATTTGGGATATATTGGGAATAGTCTTACTATAAGTATTAGACATGGATATAGAGAGATGGGTTATTGATATGACAATTTTCTTAATTCTTATATGAATAATTCACATATAATATAAAACAATATTACGTGATGTTTAATAAATCTGAGCGCTAGATAAGACTTGGAAAAAACTTTGGAAGCAATATAAATTAGTTAATATAAACATGACTTGCCGGAGCTTTCTCTAAAAAACTATTGGACTACGGGAGCTGAACACATTTAGAAGATTTAATTTTATTTATTTACTTATTTATTTTTGGTGGGGGACTGTGGCTGATAGATTGCGATGCCTGGACATGCTTATTTTGTTTTTTATAAAAGGTGGTACCCAGTGAGTTATGGTTGTATAAGGAGAATCCTGCCATCTATGTTAATTCAATGATTCGGGCAACTGATTCAATTAAAGCCGGTCTACTTTGATGTAGGAGAATGCCTAGCATCCATCAATAAAAAGAACGGTGACAAGTCTACTAAATTGCAACCAAGAAAACAATCTGGTAATTTGAGAAATAAACTTGGTGATTATAAGTTGCCATACTTGGGTATTTTATCATATTGCCGGACTTGTTCCCTAAGGAAGGTGCCTATAAGTTATTGAAGGACTTATTTAAATAATGGATGGGTGAGCGTTGCTTTTTTGAAAGTTTATCTTGGTGATCTAATTTCTGTTTGTTTAGTTGGCTTGATAATTCCTGATGATAGGCATTACTAAATATTTCAATCTTGACATACCTGTTGAAAAAATAAGGTTATTCTTATGAATGTGCAGAAGTACTAAAATAAATGGTTCATCATATTCAAAGCTCAAAGGGAGTGCTTTCTACTCTTCAAATCTTCATTTACGCCAATTATGTTCTTTTACGCCAGAAAAAGATTTAGCCAGAACAAAGAATAATGCATCTGCAGAAACATGCTTTACATAATTCCTTCACTTAGGCCAAAGAGTTTTTTACTTCTTTTCAAATTTTTATTCTTATTAAAGAGAAGAAACTATGAAAAACTGCAATTATCCTTCTCAAAAGATCATTTCTTTTGTTTTGCCTGACTTCTTTATATAGTAATTAGGCGTATGCCTTTGAGTCGCCTATGATCAGGAACATTAGAATCACTATCTGCTAATTTCTCAAAGGTTAATTACAGAACACTAAAAGAGGGTCTCGCATGGGTCTAATCTATCAGCAGAACAGAGAATATCCAAAGCTTTGTCTTTGAAGCCGAAATGAATATGACCACAATATGTGGAAACATCATGATTGTACTTGTAGTGACATATGGTGTGGTATCCCTTGGGATCGATGAAAGTGTCCAAGGCACAAGAGGGGGGTTGAATTGGCGTCTTTTAAAAAATTTTAAAAATATTATAAGTAGCGGAAGATTTTATAGCACCAATATTGAATTCAGTTCCCTCTGTTTTAAAAAACAACTTAGCCTATATATATATATATTTGTTTTGAGAAAAGTAAGTAATCAAGATTTTCAAAACGAACTTATGTATGTATGTGTATATATTTTAAATCATCAATAATATTTCAACCAGAAATAAGCCGATAAAGTAAATTCAATAAGCAAAATTACAGAAAGTAAAAAATACAACAACAACAAGCCTTTATCGCACTACGTGATGTCGGTTACATGAATCATTTCTCTCCATTGTCCTATTAAGAGTCAAATTCTCATTCAAATGTAATAGAGAAAGGTCATTTCTAATATTTTCTAACCAAATTTTTTTAGGTCTACCTCTACCTATTTTAACATAAGCCAAATCTAATACATCTGCTTTCATAACCAGGACATTGGAAGGCTGCCGTTTTATGTGACCAAACCATCTAAGAAGACTCTATCTAATCTTATCTCCAATGGAGCTACTCCAACCTTTTCATGTATATGCCAATACAAGAAATTATGTTCGAAAAGGTATATGCCAATATAAGAAATTATGTTTCCTACTATATGAATATATTCATCTTTTGAATTTATCTATTTTTAGAAATATTAGAATTTTAACGGTTTAAATTCGAAATAGCTGATCGTTCAATACAATATATATCGTATTGTATGATTAGTTTTGCAAATTTTTTAATTTCTAATTTTAGTTAATTAATGCTACTTGACTTTCATAAATTATGAAAATATCATTCATACCGTATAGTACGATTTTGATCGTACAGTACAATTTATCAAATGTCAAGTGTTTTGATTAACTTTGTTTAATTTTTATCAGCCCTAATGTGTGTGCGCTTGGTCGTTGAACCCACTATATGCCTATAGTTTGAAAATTTCATGAAAATAAAAATAAAATAAAATAAATAGGAAATACAATTGTTTCACTTTTTATTTTTTGATCTTCTTTACTTTAACAGACTTTCCTTATGTTGAACTCATTAGCTTTATCAAGTCATCATCCTGATTCCGTCATCTGTGTGCTACCTACAATATTACTAAGATACCAATCTCTTGCACACATAACTCAACTTTTAATTAGTATAACCATGAGTTTTTGCAATCATCAAAACCCTAATGTCCACCAGGCTCATGGAGTTCAAAATCTCCTCTTTTTTATGACGACTAACTTTTTTTTTTATTGAAGTGATAAAAAACCATTATTTACTTAAATATTCCCTCCCAGAGTTTATGGCCAGAAAGAAAATTACAAGTTTGATAACTGCAATATCATGGGATTTGATACCACTGTTGGAAACATATAGGTACTCGTGTAAATCTTGGTTAGTTATATCCAAGTGGCCCTAACAGACAAATGATTGCACAAAAGTTATATCACTTGTGATTCTAAGATCGGCAAAAAATTGTAAAAGAAGTTCAGTGTGATATAGAAAAACTAGAGAGATGATGTGTAAGGTAGTGCCTACGAATAAGTCTAGTATTTGATATCCTAATTGTTCTTTGTTTAATACTTTTGAGTCAATTATGGATGCTTCTTGATATCATTGATTTACTTCGACATCTTCATCAGGGCGCTGCTAACTATCTTTCCTCTCTTACTTGCCATTTAAGAGCTTAGGTGTATTGTATTAACAGTAAGAAATGCTGACAAGTGTGGTTTGAACATAGAAAGGGAATTCTTCTTATAGCCTCTATTCAATTTTATAGTCTGATCGAACATCGTACAATACAATCAGAACAGGCCAAATCATCCTATCGAATTTTGTACGAAGACTGGTCAAATCGCATACTCCGATCAATATGGGACAATATGGCCTTTGACTTTTGATCATCCTTTCCGTAAAGTTGGTTGAACTTTTTTTACAAGTTAAATTTTCCAATTTAAATGGATTTTTATATATTACGATTTTCCATAATGATTCGTATTAGGCTGTTAATATTGCAAATGTCATATTTTTCAACATGCATCATACAATGCGAGTGAGCTCGTATAGTGCAATGTACAATTATTATTCATTCCAATCATTAAATTTGTAGTAATAACCTCGAGAATCATGTTGACCTCCGTATAATGTATAGTACAAGTCAGGTTCGTACAGTACAATATGACATAATATTTTATATTTTTTGTTGATTAGGACCTTTTGTTTCATGCACACAGAACATCAATAGATTGTAATCACAAAAACATTTGTGAGAAAAATAAGAGACAAATATATAAACACATAACCCATAACACACCCCATAACAACACAAACATAATTTCACCTAATGTTTTATGCACTTAAATCAATTATTCTTAATCCAATTTTAAGTGCGCTAAATCTCTCAAAATGAAATCCCTTTGTTAAAATGTCTGGCAATTGATTTTCAGTATCCAAAAAGTGAATATCCACATCCCTTTTTTATCATGATTTCTAATGAAGTGATATCTAATGTAAATATGCTTAATGTTTGGGGGCTGACTTAAATTTTTAGTGATCCATATAACACTAGTATTGTCACACATTATGGGGATTATATCCACATGCAATTCAAAATCAAGAAGTTATTGTTTGATCCATAATACTTGTGCAACACAACTTCTTATAGCTATATATTCTACCTTAGCAGTGGATAGGGCGACAAAGATTTGCTTTCTACTAAACTAGGAAATTGAAAGTTGTCGTGTAAAATGACACAATCTTTAAGTGCTTTCTCTATCTATCTTGTATCCCATAAAATTTGAGTATGAGTATTTAACTAAATAAAATGTACTCTTTCTAGGATACTAGATGCCTAAAACTGGGGTCTCTATAATACCTAAGAATTCTTTTTATTGCTTTAATTTGTTACTCTTTAAGTTCTATCTAAACTCTAGCATAGCAACAATTTCTAAACATGATATCTAGTCTACTAATAGTCAAGTAAAGCAGCGATCCTATCATACCTTTATATTTCTTTTGGTCTATAGGTTTGCGACTTGGATTTTTATCTAATTGTATACTCAGGCTCATGGGGATATTCATACTCTTACAATCCATCTCAAACTTCTTAATAATCTCTCCAATGTATTTTGTTTGATTAAGATTCTATCACTTTTTTGTTTCTTATTAAATCTTAAGAAATATGTAAACTCACTCATTATACTTATTTGAATTCATTACTAATACTTGATGAGAATTCTTTACAAATTTTTTTATTTGTCGATCCAAACAAAATCCAAGTAAAATATAATCCATATAGATCTGGATTATTAAGATATTAGATCTTATATTCTTAATGAATAATTTGGTATCCAAAATTCCTTTAGCCTATCATACCATGTTGTAGGTGTTTGTTTTAGTCCATATAGTGCCTTTTTAAGTTTGTGAACATGATATGTAAGTGGTACTCTCTCAAATCCAGGTGGTTGCTCTACTTACACATCTTCCTTAATTTATTAATTTAAAAATATATTTTTCACATTCATCTAGTATAACTTGAAACCTATAAAACATCCAAAAATGGTACTCTAATAGCTTCTAACCTAGCAATGGGTGCAAAAGTCTCTTTACAGTCAATTCCTTCTATTTAATTATATTCTTTTTCTACTATTCTTGTTTTATTCTTATTTAGAAATCCAATATCATTTAATTTATTTTTAAATACCCATTTTATTTCTATGGCACTCTAATTAGTCGCTCTAGGCTCTAACTTTTGTACATTTTTGGTAAATTGGTTTAATTCATGCTGCATTGCTAAAATCCAAAATTAAACTTTTAATGCTTGATTTGCACTTATGGGCTCTTTCATTGAAATGAATGCAATGTGGCTAATCTTTTCCTAAGGCCAAGTCTAGCTCTATCTTTTGTAAATTTTTCTTTTAAACAACTCTCTAGGATGACTAGAACCATATCTTTATTATCTAGGTAATGAGTCCTAATTCATATCTCTATCCTATAAGCTTATTTTCTCAATTTTAATAGTGACATCATCCTCTTTTTGTTCTTCTCTAATTGGAAAAACCATATTGATCTCATTAAATATAATGTGAATTGATTCTTGTGTTACCAATGACCTTTTATTAAACACCCTATAGGTTTTTCTTATAGAGGAATATCCTAGAAGTACTTACTAATTAGGTTTTGTATCAAATTTTATCAAATTTGATTTTCCATTATTTAACACCATACTTACACCCAAAAACATGCAAATTAGAAAGATTTGGTGTCATACCCTTAAGAAGTTCATAGGGGTTTTATTTAACTTGGATCTAATATTTACTCTATTAAATGCATAGCATGCAATATTTATAGCTTTTGCCCAAAAATAGTTCGCCAACTTATATTTATTCAACATCACTCTAGTAGTCTGAGCTAAAGTTTTATTCTTTCTTTCAGCTATCCCATTATGTTAAAGGGTTCTAGGTGCCAAAAAATTATGTTCTATTCATATCTCATGATAAATGTTTTAAGTTCCTCATTTTTAAATTCTCCTCTGAGATCATTGTGAATGGTGGAGATAGAACATCCATTTTTTCTTGGAATTCATGCAGAGATAATTTTAAATTCATCGAAGGCCTCATTCTTATTTGCTATAAATTTTATCTAAGTGAATCTATTGTAATTATTTACTATTACAAATCCATATGATTTGCCTCTTAGACTGACAGTAATAATCAGTCCAAAAAGATCCATATGCAATGCCTCAATGGTCTAGAGGTAATGATATCCTTAGTTGTGTAAAAAAAATGACTCGACTTGTTTTCCTAGTTAATATGCATCACATAATTGTTTCTCGGTGAAATCTAACTTCAATACCCCTCTAATTAGGTCTAAGTGAGTAATTTTCTTAAGTATTTTACATGCTTGCATCACACAATCTTCTATGCCACAACTAAGCATCATATACAGTTTTTTTCAAACAACATATTTCAAGGATTCATTAATGTTATCAAGTCAATTATATAAACTTTGTTCAATGAAAGGTCTTTTAAAATAATTTTATTATTCAACAAAAATAGACACTTATTAAAATAAAATTTAACATCTAGTCCTTTATCATATAATTGCTAATATTGAGTTAATTATGTTTTAAACATTCAACCAATAATACGTTTTCAATAGTAAAGCTATCAGTTTTACCTATTATTCCTGTACTAATTATTCTTTTAGTAGTGTTATCTCCAAGGGCCACTCATCCTCCACTCCTGACCTCCTGTGTGATGATTTCTTTATGTCACTTGTTATGTTCTGTGTACATCCACTGTTCAAGTACTGCATGCTTACACCTAGGGGTGTAAGTGAGCCGAGCTGGCCCGTTCGGATCGTGAGCCGGCTCAAGCCCGACTAGTTAACGAGCTCGCGAGCTCGAGCTTATCGAGCCCGAGCTCGAGCTTGAGCTCATTTGTTAAATTAGCTCGAGTTTGAGCTTCATGAGGATCGATTCGTTAGCTCGTGAGTCAGCTCGAATCACTATTAGTATTTTAAATAATTATTTTTTTCAATAGTTTAAAATAATTTGAGCTGCAATTTTTATTTAAAGGCATTAAA